TTCCAAATTTAATCTTCCAACTTTTTCGGCGTACAAACATTTCAAACGTGCTATTTCATGTTCTTGATTATCTGATCTTAAGATGTATTTTTCAATAGTTTTATTCTTGCTACAAATCACTTCTTTTAATTCTGAAATTGTTTCTGTTAATGAATCTTTTGAAGGAGATTGATATTCTTGTTCAGACATCTTCTCTTTACCTTTGTGATTATCATTTTTAATGTTATTCTCTTTATCCTTGTTATTGTTGTTATTGTTATTACCTTGATTAATATTACGATTATTGGCGCTATCATTACAACATTTGTGGTTATCAATCTCTTCTTTTAATTTTCTTATTTCATATGTTTGGTGGTTACTTATATCCTCAAGCCTTTCGATCATACATTCATAAATACTACACTGAGAATCCAATTGAATATTACTTTTCGTTAATTCATCATTAATATTATCTAAAAGTTCAAGATTAAAATCTGATGTATTTTTATAATTTTGTAATATTTTGATATCGTGATTTAATCGATCGTTATCATCCTTGAATTTATTATTTTCACTAATTAACATTTTTCTACTTGCTTCCGATTGAAGTTTTTCTTGTTTTAATTTTGCACAATCTGATTCTAATATAATATTTTGATTTTTTACAATATTTAGTTGTGAAATCATATGATGTGTCTCTTTTTTAGCAGCACTCAAGTCTTTTATTAATCCATTAATATTTTTATTCGAATTTCCAAGGCAAACATTCAACATATTTATCATAGTACTGTCATCTTTCCTTTGTTGACTATCATGTTTCAATAAATCAATTTCTCCACGAAGATTTGCAATTTCAGTTAACAATTTCTCGTTTTCCTCCTTATAATTGATATTAATATTAGTGTTGGAATCATTGTTAATATCATGATCATCGTCACCACCGCCATTATTTGCAATTTGATTATCTTCCCCACTAATATTACTATCAGTGGTAGCAACAGATTCCACAGTAGCAGTGACTGTTACTGTAGTAGTATCAGCAGCAACAGATTCATTTTGATTATACTCGTCTGTTAAATTTATGATTTCATTTGTCAATAAATTCATTCTATTATTTTTTTTTGTAGAAAATTTTTTTCTTTTATTGGCCTAAAAATTAAAGTTAAAATTAAATCTATAAATTTACAAAAAATATATAAAGAAATTCTACAATGCATGAAATCTATCTTTATGCTATCCTTTCATATAAATTAAATATTTATCTATATACCTTTGTGATAATATTACTATCATCATTATCATTGTCACCATCATCATCATTGTCATCATCGCCATCATCAACATCAACTATGATATTATTATTATTTTGCTCAGTAGCAGTAGTTGTTGTTATTAGATTGTCATCAGTCACTATTTTATCATCATCCTCACTTTCACCAAATATCTTCAATAATCAATAATTTTGTTCCAATTCTTGGTCCATTACATGTCTCATTGACATTAGGGAAAATATAGTGGTTGTGCATTGGGACTTTTTTGAAATAATGTATAAATCAGTCTTTGGAATTAATAAAGTATTAGCAGCAAAACCCAAGCCCTGGAAAATAAATCAACTCCTTGAACTTTTAGATCTGCCTGAATTGAAATCTCTTCAGAAATATATAAAAAATTTAGTGGAGTGTGTAAAGGATTTGGAATATCAAACAATGATATATATTTTGGATTGGACATTTATGCTATTATTTTTCAATCAGGTTCTTTTGAAGAATATGTAGATA